TATAAGGCGCAATATCAATGAACGGGTCTGTTTTCATACATAAGGTGCACCTGATTACAAGGCGCATTAAACAAAAAAAGTTCATTTTGACATATTTTTGAGTTCCATGTACCACATTAAATTGGTATGAGGCCAGTAAGTACAACCAGAATTAATACATAAGGTACACTGGATTATAAGGCTGACTGTTGATTTTTGAGAAAAATAAAGGATTTTAAGTACGCTTTATTGTCAGAAAAATACGGTATATAGAAATTAAATTAAACTGCTACTTACTACTTGTACTACTATTCCTACTTTGCAGTTTTTCACTTAGTGGGGCTTCAGGGTACGGATCCCCCGCGATCAACGAGGGACTACTGGAACATAATATCACAGCTCTGCCAGTGTTTTCAAGTATTTTTGAAAATAACAAAAACTGAATGTTTACTAAAAATCTCCATCTATCTAATGAATTATGTGTCTCCTAAGACTTTTGACACATGAGCTAATTAGCAGATTATAAGAAGATGATAAGCTTCCTCCATGAATAAATTCCACAGCATTTTAATGGCTGTCATATGAGAAAATGATTTTGGTTGTATTTACTTATTATCTGCGCCACTTGGCCCACTGGGCCACATACTGATTCAATGACACGAGTGCATCTGTACTGCATTGTCCTGCAGCCTCTTCTGATGCAGCTGCACATCTGCTGCTGTTGAGCCAAACAAAGGCATCACGCTTTGCCAAATTTTACTCCTCTCGACCAACAAGCTGTTCTCCGAAAGTTACCCCGGGACTCTCAAGGTGGCTCTGAAACACCACTTCCTGTTTTCTTTTCTTCAAGTTGAATTATTGCAGCGTTCTCAGAAGTCATCGTCTCTGGATGGAGCTGGTGAGTGAGAGTGGCTGGGAGGGATGGGGGTGGGGGAGATTGGACGGAATCAGGACATCTGGGAGTGGATGGGTGGGAGCAGGAAGCAAATTTATAAAACCGACTGAAGACAGACACAAACAGAAAGTGGCTTGCAGCAAAATGTGATGGAAGCAACAAATACTCCTCAAAAAGGATGAATACTTTTCATGCTTTTGTCCATACAAGTAAAATAAAAAAATAGAGGACAACAATCTGTCATGGTCAGTCCTGTAAGAAAAGTATATTTCTCAGACAAGTGGATGAATTTTTATTAAAACTTTCAGAATTTTTTTTTTTTTTACTTGATTTACATCTACAACTGAAGGATGTTTGGTCAACCACATATATGGTTTTATCTCAGCCACTTTTACAAAAAAGTAAAAATTTGGTGTGTTAGTAGCTGAGAGTTGTTCACAGCCTGTACTCTGAGCACAAAACGAAAAAGCAAGATTTGTTTTTAAAACTGCCATAAACTATTGGAGTAAACGCTTCCTGTCTGTTAGCAAAATAACTTATGAACTACTGATCAGAGTGATGAAACTCCCAGAAAGTAATCAGTGGGTGTGCATCTCCAAAATGAAAACTTTCGAAAGTGACACAATTCAAGAATGCCACTACAGCTGCCTGCCCTTAATTAGACAAAAACATCTGTAACACAGCTAAAATTTGTTGTAATAGCTGAGCATCATCCTCAACACACACTCAGAGGGCCAAACATTACATGATTTTATATGTAAAACTTTGGCTTTAACTGTTAAAGTCCACTCTGTCTGTCTTTTAGAAAAATATATAATGTACCTCTTAATAGATAATATTCAAGTTCAAGTAAGTTTATTGTCATTCTCACCACATGTGGTACATGGGGTGGGACAAAATTATGCATACAGGGTCCCAATTACACCCAACAATAGCAAAAATATAAGATGTAAAAAGTAACAGTGTGTAATGATCTAAGGTATAAACTAAGATATACGCTAAATGAACGCCAAACGATACGTTAAAAGATCTAAGATATACGGTAAACACTAATAATGTAAAACAATACAGCGTAACAACAGCAGCCTGAACATGAGTCTGTGTGAGCAGATGAGTACGAATGAATACAGCAGCATGAAATAATCAGCAGCATAAGATCAGCAGCACATATCACCAATTAAAGTGGCATTACAGTGATTTTTATTTTTTTCACAGTGATTATCATGATTAGGGGTTTAATAATCTAACAGCCTCAGGGTAGAAGCTGTTCCTCAGTCTAGTGGTTCTACACTTAATGCTCCGCAAACTTCTGCCTGAGGGGAGCGGGGAAAAAAGTGTGTGCTGGGTGAGTGGGGTCCTTCATGATGCAGTTGTCTCTCTTCCTGCATCTGGAGGTGTAGATGTCTGTGATGGTGGGGAGGCTGACTCCAACAGTCTTCTGTGCAGCCTTCACCACTCTCTGCAAAGCTTTTCTTTCTGCAGCTGCGCAGCCTCCATGCCACACATTGATGCTGGAGCACAGGATGCTCTCCACTGCACACCTGTAGAAGGAGGCGAGGACTGAGCTTCCCAGACCAGTTCACCTCAGCCGCCCGAGGAAGTAGAGTCTCTGATGAGCTTTCTTGGTCAGACTGGTGGTGTTGTTGCCCCAGCTGAGGTTGTCATTCAGGTGCACACCCAAGTACTTGTAACTGGAGACCACTTTCACCACAGATCCTCTTATGTTCGGGGTGGGGGGGATTAGGTGTATTTGCTTCGTCTGAAATCCACGACTATCTCCTTCGTCTTCTTCACATTGTTCTTCCTGCACCAGCTCTCCAGGTGTTCCACCTCCTGTCTGTAGCTGGACTCATCGTTGTTTGTGATGCATCTGGGATGTACATCTACAGTTGATTAACTTTTAGAGTTACTCAAATTCAAGATGGCCACTCAAGCTAATCTGCGTCAACCAACACGAAAATGGCTCTAACTCATCAAATACAGCTATTGAGCTATAACCTAGTTTGGTCATGGCTGAGAGTCATCCTCAACACATGCTCTGTGCACTAAACATTTTACAGGACTACAATTTTGCATGAGATGACGTCACGCACAAGTTTTGACCAGAACAGCTGTAACTCTGTCTCTGCAGCTCTGGCGTAAAACACAGTGTTTTTTTGAGAAATGCTATGTAATAAATTTATAATTCGTTTTTTTTTTTTAAGATAATTTTCTAAAACTGGTTTTATGTGGCCATTTATAACTTTGGTCTCTTTGCCCACACGTGAATCAGATTGTTGTCAGACTTTGAATAACGTGTTGAAACGAAACACTAAAGTGTTGCAGTTGGTTAAAGTCCTGATATGTGCTGCTTTTCTTGCGCTCGTTTTGTTCCTGGCTGTCATTTGAAATTAGACCTATATCCTGTCCGAGGCTGCTTCACCTCATTTTTCTCACACATGTTCTCCTTGTTCTGGCTCCATCTTCCTGCTGTTGCAAAACATTTCATTTCCTGAATGAAGCCGAAATATTAGCTTTTGTGTTTTCAGGGCTGCTGACTTTGCTGTCAGAGTTTTCACTCGTTCACCTCAGGTCTCATGTTTACAGCTCACTCGCTGCTGTAGTTGACTGCGAGTGTCAAAAACTAACATTTTTATCATTAGGCATAGACTGGATTAATGACGGCTTCTTTTGACAACAGGGCTTCATTTTTCCATTATTTATTTTTTTTGCAATAATTTTTTTAAACTTTTGAAATACATGTTGTTACTTTTAAGGCTGAATTCAGGAATTTTAGACAGTTGAATAATTCACTGGGTTGCATTGTAAGAAAATTACTAGTTATATTGTTAAACAAAACTATCCATCCATAATCTTTACCCGCTTTTGCCTTTTCGAGTCATGGAAGTCACTGGTGCCCATATCCTGCACTGTGCAAGAGGCAGGGGACACCTTGGACAGGTTGCAAGTCCATCACAGGGACACATAGAGACAAACGAGACAAACAACCATTCACTCTCTCACTCACACCTAGGGACAATTGAGAGTTACCAATCAGCCTAACATGCATGTTTTTGGTCTGGGATGAAACTGGAGTGCCTGGAGAAAAGCCATGCATGCACGGAGAGAACATGCAAACTCTACCCAGAAGGGTCTCAGGCTGGGATTTGAACCGGTGACCTTCTCGCTGAGAGGCAACAGCTCTACCAACTGTGCCACCATGCTGCCCCAAAATGATTATATAATTTAAAATGCAAGTTGTAAACTGACTGGCAACTTATTTAAAAACAAGCTAAAACCATGAGTAATGGCTGCAAATTTGACTTATATTCTGATAATCATATTTGTTTCAATTTCTTACACAGCTGCAGTCGGCACCAGTGGTTCTCAAACTTTTGGGGTTCCGGGACTCCTTACAGGGGAGAAAAAGTTTCAGGGATCCCCTCATAACCCTCATGTTTATTAAATAATTATCTTCAGTTTGTCTCTTTAATGCAATGGAAATATTTGTGGAACATAAATACTTAAAACCTGTTCTTTAATAGTGTTAATACAACTTTTATACTTTTAAACATGGGGTATTTTTCATTCAAGACACACTTAATTAACACAATTTTTAATTTAAACTTCCAAAAATTACAGTTTTGAGAAAATTAACAGAATCAAAAACCACGTTAAAACGTTACCTATTCATATAATGAAGAAAATTAATGTGTTGCCACTTCTTCAAATTATTACAGAAAACTTTACATAAAACTGAACAGAATCCTAACAGCAGTAGTCAGACCAAGTAACAGGACTTCCTTTGTAAACCGATCACTGCCGGAATGCAAATAGTGGATGGGCCAGTGGGGGTGTCTGTGGGTCCTCCCCCAGAAAATGTTGAATAAAGTAGATGTGATTTCCTGCATTTTGGTGTATTT